CCTATGTAGATATTGCACCAAAAACCAGACATTTGCAGCTAGAATAGCCATTTACCACTTTAGCAATATATAGAGTGTATTTCTTTAAAGTTAAGACTCTTCTTTGAAAAGTACAGTGCTTTTCCTTCAAAAATAGACATTTCAATGTGACCCCAAAACTTTGAACGGTAGTGTATATTTTTGAAAGCAACGGTAGATGATCACAGTAGCGTCTGAAGCTATTCTGTACAGAAAATCAGAAAGAACAATATATTTGTGTTGGTGAGAAAGTGGCTGATCCAGGAGCAAAGCGGTGCTGATGAACTTCAGGGCCAGCAGGTCTCGAAGGACGGCGTTAAAACTGAGCTGAAGTCAATAAAAAGCACTTTTTGTTCTCATCCAAAGAGGCCTGGATGAAAGATTCATAGGTTGGTATGTCAGACCGTACAGGGAGGAAAGCTTTAGATGATTGTGAGGCAGGTCAATGAGGCCAGATTGCATCAGACTTTAAGGTTCTCCACAAACTCTAAAAGCAGATGTTTAATCAAAGGCTACCAGATGTAGCGGCTGTGGCTGCATGCTAGGTCAGATGCTTTGGTTTCAAAGGAAACGATCAATCTGGATGCCTAAACGCTCCTCCTAGTTGTGCCGTCTTTCGGTTTAGGAGTAAAATCTTTTCCTCTTTTGTTCTTGTTGAATAGAAAAAAATATTAAATAAGTTTATCAAAGAAACCCATTTCCTGCCACCATCAGTAGAGCATCTTTTTGTTTGAGGACGATAAAGAAACATGACTTTATTGTTTGGGGAGCGGCGGCCTAGTGGTTAGCCTCCACTCTGGGTCCCTGAGCAAGACCCTTAACCCCACACTGCTCAGGTTTAGTTCTGTGCAAAAAGATTTAAATTGAAAACTTTGAACAGTTTTTATTTCTTGTCTGTATGTTTATAGGTTAACACTGGAGAATTTAAGAGACAAAGAAATGGGCCAGGAGCTGGAGGAAGAGGATGAGGAGGAAGGCGAGACGGAGAAAAGTTTACAGGCCAGTCAACCCCAACTTCCCACAAACCAGGATCTGATGGAGGAAGAGGATCAGATCATAGAGGAATACGACAGCGACTGATTCCAACGCTGCCAGAATTCATTCATTGTTTTTCACTCAAAGGGACGTTTTTTTTTATTCCTTTCATTTCTCAAAAACCTCTTTTATTTAAAGCACATTAGAGAAAACAAATCAAAGACAGAAGGCTCATAGGTCCACATTATGGTTAATTTATTTAAGATTCATAATTTACCCAAAATAAAATAAGCCAAACATTTACACTTTATTTTTTTTTTTTTAATGATTGTTGTGCATCAACACCTTTTGCTTCTGACCTGCAGGGATCAACGCACCGTTTTCAGACCGACCTTAAAATCTGGGTTTATTTTCTTATTTATTTCCTGGGGAGATGTTTCTCTGTCTGGAACCTGAAGAACATTTTTTACTTAGAGCCTGAAGTTTCTGTTTACATTTCAATTCTAAAACGAACCTGTGAAAATACTGAAAGGAGGCCATGTTTGACAGAACCTTGGAGTAAAGAATATTGTACATTTGAAAAGCTGTACTTGCAGTAACATAGCAGGAAGTAAGTGTTTAAACAAGGAATCAAAGGTTTTCATACCGCGATGTGTGAGCACTATTAAAATGTTTTATTTGTATATTTTGGTACACATGTTTTCTGATTTAACTTTTAAAGTTCAAATAACTTCTAATCATCATTTCAGGTTTGTTTTTTTCCTTGTAGAGAAAGTTCTATATTTTTTTGGGCAGTTATTTAAGAGATGTTATTTTAGGATAATTAGGATCCAAATAAAGATGTGATGAGCCCTGTGGTTTTAGTTACTGGAAAGAGTAACTAAATACTAGGGATGCACGATATAATCGGCCCCCTATCGGTATCGGCCTTAAAACGGAATATCGGACATCGGCCACCCCACCGATATTTAACCCGATATTTGATCAGCTTCTGA